GTAATTTTGCAACTCATTCTCTCTTAAAAAAAAGAGGTTACTTAGCTTACGTTTCAGTTCGAATTCTTTTTTGCTATCAATATAGTGCAGCTCTTCTTTCTTGCATTCAAACTGGACGAGTTGGTAAGTTTATTTTGATTGTGATCTTCGTATTGTTGCGCAGTGACTGCTCTAGCGTATAGATTTGTGTCTCTTTCTTTTTTCCGACGTGTGATTTTGAAGAGAGGCTGCGCTATGATTGCTGTCGTTTCTAAGTGCATATTATGGTAAGGAAATACACTATTGCTAATCAGACCTTCTGCTCATCGGTCATAACCTAGCCTCTATATCTACTGCAGGAAGTATTGTTTTTAGTCGGCTAGGAACCCCTTAGTAAATAAATGCACATAATCACATTTTCTTTATATTTCTCCTAAAAAACGCATTTATTTTTGTGCCAGTGGTGCAACGTGCAGACATCTTTCTAACCATGGCGGAAAGAGAGAGGTTTTTATTATTGTAGTTATATGAAAGTGGCTACTAGCTCAACTTTGTGAATTAGCTCTCGCAAACTTGAGACAGCGGCTTTACGTATCTTTGAATTAATCGTCGTCAGAGGCCTAGGCTTCGGTTCCGAGGCACATTGGATGGTGTAGGTATTGCTCCTAGCTGCACCATCAAGGGCGCTTGCGATGGAAGGCCTCTGAAGACGGTGATTGTCGAAAAGCGTCTGCAAAAAGGGCCTCAGACAAACCTCTTGTTCGCAAAAAAACAATAGAAAGAACATTACGCAGTACGCCGAGGTTCAAACGAGGTAGGGAGAGCAGCTTACTGGCAAAACATTATTATCACATTTGAATCAAAATATACAATATGTGGTAAATGAACGTGTAATTTAGGTGGACTGGTCATGGGCTGTTGTATTTATTCCATTGTGGATTGTGCTCTCATTATCTGCAGTGGGCGTTTTATACGCTCTTGTGCTCTCTATCGTGTTAGCGCGATCACGTCACCTGGTTCCATCGCATCGAAGGCAGCACGTTACATCGGCGCTATTCCATGCTTGCCTTGTCGTTCCCGCGTTAATATGTATGGTGCTGCTAACCGGAAAACTAGACGCTCTGGAATGGGGAGACAATGATCCTGCTGCCGACATGCCATTTACGGTATAGGCTTCTTTTTTTCTTTCTCTACTCCATAATACAGTCATGAGCATTTTTTAGTTTATAAAAAAGCTAGTAGGGATGAATGACAACGGCGACTTGAAAAAAAGATGCTTACTATACACAGCTTGGAATGCTGATTTCAAATTGCTTCCATACTTATGAACGCTTCAAGGGTTGTGATGACCCAGTGTTATTGAAGAAAAACTGAGGCTAGTTTAGCGTAGCTAACGTCCTTTCATACTCCATACATAAACCTAGAATAGAAGAGTAGAGAGTTTTCCTCGTACTAATAGTGTTTCTGATAACTGCTAATCACTATCCATAAACCTTAAAATACTTTACTCTCTTGTGCTTTGATGTGTTGCAGCATATTAGCAGAAGTAAGCTCACAGCTTTAATACAGACTAGAAATGCGAATTCAAAAGCG